AATACTTGGCTATTTCAGACACCAACAGATTATGATAAAAAGGTTGAGGAGGAGAGTTGGGAGATAAGATTTGAGGTAAGTTTCAACTCACATATTTTGGAGACTTGGTGCAAAAGAGCTGGTAAAAGTTGAGAACAAGTTTTTATTAACTATTGTTATATGTGTGGTTTTGTCCTTTTTTTAAAACAACCACTTTACCGAGATATAATTTGAATACTACAAAATTCACTTTTCACGTGTGAAATTCAGTGTTTTTCACAAAATTGATCAATCACCATTCTTATCTAACCCCAGAACATTGTCCTCATCCCCAAAAGAACCACATACCCATTAACTCCCCAATTATCTCCTCTTCCAGATCTTGGCAACTACTAATTTCTCTTCATCAATTTTTCCTTGACTGTTTGTATTCTTTCACTTAACATCGTTTTCAATGTTTGTTTATATTATAGTATATGTCAGTTCTTAGTTACTGTGTATTGCTCTATAGTTGGCCCATTGTAGGAATATGCCACATTTTGTTTATCCAATCATCAATTGGGTTCTTTTCATTATTTCTACTATTTAATGAAAATGCAACTGTGAACATTCATGTGCAAATGTTTACATGACAGAGAATCATATATTGTAATATTCCTCCCTTGGCATTTCTTTGTATGTTTGCATTTCTCTTGCGTTTATAACTGAGAGTCATCACCATAGTTAACATTCTGAGGAAACTGCCAGGCTATACCAGGGTTCCAGTTTCTCCACATCCTTTCGAAAATGTATTTTCTCTTTTTTAATCCTACCCATCCACAGGTAGCAGTATCTCACTGTGGTTGTGATTTTCCAATTATTATTCATAGTGAATGTCTTTTCATGTGCTGTTGACCACATTTGGAGGAGTGCCCATTCAATGCCTTTGCCTGTTTTAATTGCCTTATATAGGTTCCTATTGTTGAATGATGTATTTGTTGTGTTTCTGTATTCCGAATACAAATCCCTTCCCAGATAATGATTTGCAAACATTTTCTTCCATTGCTTGGGTCTCTCCACTTTCTTTATAGTGTCTTTTGAAACATAAATGTTTTACTTTTGAGGAAGCACAATTTCTGTTTTTTGTTTTATCATGTGTGCTTTTCATATAGGAAATAAGTGTTAATAAGTGAAAGCTGTAAGTAGTATTTCTCCTGTGATTGTACAAATAACACATGATGCCTAAAGTGCTA